GATCAAATATTACAATTCGATGTGCTCTATTTGCATAATATAGATATTATACCTAATTCAAAAGCAATCTGCTATTAAAATGAGAATATAGAAAGCAAGTCGTTCAGTTTTCCTTTTAACATGTTAAAATATCGATCAACCTAAGAATACTCTTTAGAATTAATAAAATGATATTTGAATCTACTCTCTTAATTAGGGTATTGCATGTTGATTATTGATAGAAGTAGTGATTACTACTGAAGCTGAAAGCAAATGGAGGGAATATAAAAAAGAATTGATTTATTTGTGATGGGACAGAATAGAAAATATAATCAACTATAAACTAGTATTTGGCAATTTATAAATGAAATTGTATATATAATTCCATACACCAGCATTTGATAAAAAAAATTGATATTTTTCTTAAATATCATTTTCAAGAACTTTAATAATCACTACTCCTACCAATAAAAATATAACAACGTGTAAAGTAATATTAATTATGAATATAATCTATTGGAACCCCAATGGATTATTTTGGTGTTTACTTATATGTACTTTTCATTACTATTCATATTTGGAGATTAGGCTCTTTTAATACTCAATAAAATGTTCATAAAATTGTAGCAGAATGAACTGATATTAGCTAAATTAATATAAATATTAGTCTTGGACATGAAAAATATATTGAACGACATATCTCATTATTTGTGATATTACTGGTTTGGATCTGGATGTTTTTTATTATATCATATGATATGGTTTTGATATTACTAATGAATACTTATACAAATAATGGTTAATTTCAAGTGTTCGATTTATAACTTCAATATTCATGGCTGGCTATATTATTATGCCATACACAGATAACAATTTTGTTGATGGCATGATAAATATAACTTCTTATAATTAATATTGCAGATTAAACTAATGGTATACTCTTTTTGCCATCAGCATTTTTTATTGATTGAATACAACAGATTGTTAAATAATATTTCCAATCAATAATTGTGATGGTTTATTTCTACTAGATTTGAAAATCATTTGATTATGATTTAAACATATAAAACCGTTTAAATCTCGTTTTAATTATTTGATAATAGTGCTGAATTACACATTGTAGCCATTATATTAAACAAATATTCAAATACTTATTAGTCAAAATTAGTTGTTACTATAATTTAATTTAAATATTGTGCAATTTATGTAGTATATTTAGAAATTTATTATTAAACACGTGTTTTATTGTGAATAAAATATAAGAGATTTATGGGAACTTTTTCAATAACTGAAATTGAGTTGCTTTGACATTTTTTTAATATGATGAATACGTTTTTGAAATCCATATTTATATTTTATTAATTGTACCTAATGCTTGTGATACTAATCTGATTTTTTTATTCTTAAATACTCTGGGCAACAAGTGAGAAATAAATATAGAAAAATAAATGAAATTGTAGAAAATAACAATTAATATATCAACTAATTGTAATAATATACCAAGGAACAATCCAAAATCTTTGTATGTAATGTTACTATAGATGTTGTGTGCTAAATTTATATGAATATGCCGCCATAATATATATTAGGTTTTCTATTTTAATAATATACATATCGCTTGATGTACTTTAAAAACTGGTTTCATTTTTTTGTCTGACTTCCATATATTTTTGTCATAATATTATCTATTACAGTGTGATCTTTTCATTTTTTTGATATTTTTATATGTGTAACAATTATTAATCATAACTACTATTTCATGAAAACAACTTTTAATATTTACAATAAATACAAATCATATATTAGTAGTTCTTCAGTGACTACTGAAGGTTAATGATGAATTTCTTTAAAAACTTCGTATGAACTCACATTTCAAGTAAATCATTCAATAATTCACTATCATATCTGAAACACACTTATTTCTCTTTTGCATATTTATTCACATCATTTTCTTTCATTTTAAATTGCTCATTTCTTGTAGTATTAGCTATTTATTTCATAATAATATTTCCAAGTAACAATTATCTTATTAGTCACTGACCCTGATGTGGTTTTAGATGAATCATCCAAAACTTTAATTGTAAGTGAACCCTTGCAGCCGTTCTTCCAAACTTTTCCATCTTCATCGATGATAGTTGCTTCGATATTTGCTACCCATAATCCTGGATTTCCTAAAGTCAACAAAAAACTCCCCGAGAAATAGTCATGGTTAGGCTTAACAGTCTGAGATAAAAATTGACTCGCATCTGATGGCTTTACATCAATATTTGCGCCCAGCTTAGTTTGGAGCACTGAATTCAATTAGATGTATCTGCGCCACTGTGCGAAAAGTAGATTTTGCCGCCAGTGTGTATTGGACTATACCTTCAACTTTTACTACTAGATGGGTATTTGGAACATGATTTATGGGTTCTCCTTGAACTCTGGGGACAGGAGTGATATTCAGTTTCAACGAAGTACTTGAAGAACCTGGAAGAAAAATCTAGGCATGCAGAATGGTGCCGCGCATAAGAGCGCTACTTGTTCTAATAAACTGCGCAGTTTTTAGGAGTTATCATTTTAGCAACACCTGGTACAAGACTTGCCTGAAATTTGTCAGATATATCCATTATCATGTTGCAATGTTGAAGCAAACTGCGTCTTTCTGGATTTGTAATATAGCTTGTGGTTAGTTGTTCAAAATGAACATCTCTGGTGTAACACATACGTTCTATGGAAGTGGCAAGAACATTACTTCGGTACCTCAACAATTGCAGTAAATCCAAAGTAGCAGGGTCTGCATCAAATGATTTTTGATACAAATTTATATATGCTTCCTCATTTTTCTTAAGCAAAGGTAACACATTTACGAAGTTCCACAATTATTGGTCCATATCTTAACAATTCATCTTTGTTAACTTGTGCGACGGACTGGCTGATATAAGCCGGAGGCGTGTAGACCAAATAACAGCATAATGTCACTTGCAGCAAAGTTTGTAAGAACTCTAATCTTAGTTTTAAATAATCTATTTGAAAAGACATAGGTATAGCTGTAGAACTAGCAGCTGTCATAGCGGTCACGGCACGATTGTAGTGAATTATAGATTGATTTAAGATATCGGGTATGCATCTATTCGTTGATGCATTCACACCTTCGAGGTCTGAAATGTATACAATCTATAATTAACTAGATGCACCAGAAACAATATCACAATTGGCTAATTAATAAGGAAACAACTATAAAGCCAAAAAATATAAATGTACCAATAACAATTATTTTAAAATGTACTTATTTTTGCGCGCTAAAGAGTGCTCTTGATAATATGTATGATGGAACAGCTTTATATTACAAACTATTACTAATTTTGATATTATATAATTGATAGTGATGCCAACTCGAATCAAGTGATTCGAATCATTCGAATCAAGCCCTTAACAACCCGATTCGAAATATTTACTGTGATACGATATGCATGAACATAAATTTTAATAAATATGAATATAGAAGTGAATTAAATCATGCAAGCCACTCGGCTTCTATCGACTCATTAGAGATACTCGCATAATCCGTATAAATCCAATCATTCGAGTTACTCGATTGCACACAAGCCATTCAACTTCTGAACACATGTGCAGATACAACAGCGACTTTGTGTTCCTCGATAGCTCCTTGTGTTTGTGAAATATTAATACTTAATTTTGATCATAGATATGTATTTAGAGACCATAATTAATTCAATAGATTCAAAACATGATTTATCATTGTTTTTATAATATATGTAGTAATATGGATTTTAAATGTTATCAGAATAAACCTCTATTATGAAATCATTGATTAAAATTTTGAATATAAAATTTCCTTTAAACAATTATTAAACATCAGCAGGCAAGTAAATCATTATGCAAGTAATGGTAAAATTACGACAATGAAATAATAGCAATCTTTATGATCATGGACTGACTTTTTTCGCCATTGCACTTTACATTCAGCTTTCGGTTTAGACAAATAAATTAAACACACTATCAAATGAACCATAATTCTAAATATTGTTATGATTTGGTGATGCAGAAATGCTTCGTCATATATTATTCTAAATCTAAACTAAGTTGAAAATATATAGTCCAAGAGCCCGTGGGCGGATGACAGTATGTATTTTACGACACCTGAGATTTTGTGCATCGATTCCTCTTATACCTATCCTACATGAAATGGGGACTGACTAAGCCCAAGTGGCGGACACAGCTACTGCGCAGCTGGTAAAGGTACCTTTTTTTTCGCCCATATCCGAACCATTTTACGACGGTTGTCGTTTCGAAAATTTGAAAATATAATATTATTACTATCGTAAAATACCAATGGCAGACGATTATCGCGCGGTTAACATGGTGGCAGACGATTTTGAAAATGCAGAAAAAAAATTTTTTTTGAATGTATTTTACGATGTCTGCCATTTACATATTTATTCCTTATAGTATCAAAACCTTATATTTATCACGGCAGACGTGTACCTAGTGGACCAACATCAGCAGAGTTAAAAAACTCAGCTACCATTTGGCCTGATAGTATGCATAAATCTCCATGTTTTATTTGTTAGTTTATATGTGACATTTAATAATGTTGATGAGCGGAAAAAAGATTTTTTACGCTAAATTCGTAAAGATTAAAGTATACAAACGATAACAACAATTATTGTATATATATATATAATATATATATATATATATATATATTACTTTCTTTATTTATTATAATCTCGGAGCCATATCTCGCTTTTGATGATTCCTCATCATCCGCTAAATCAGATTCTATAAAATAATAAATCAGATGTAAAATAAAAAATTATTTGAAAATCCAACTGAAGATGTTTGATAAAGACATGATTCTCCGACCATACTTTAATGCGCCCACAATGTTGGTTGCTTGTTATAGATATTATTCCTAATATAGTTATAGTGGGCTCTTAAAAATTGTTGATAAAACACGAGATTGAACTTGCACCAAAATTTAGAATTTTTTCTGCTGAATTGTTCATTGACATTGCAAACTTTATAGTTATTAATGAACAGTTTGTACCGTCCAAGAACCACGTCATTTAGGTCCTTTTGCATTATATATTTGGCAAATATCTTAGGTGGTTTCCTGTTAAATTTTCTTTTTTGCTAAACCGAGTGTAGCAAACCCTTGTTGAAGATCGATATTTTTTATTTAAATTTGTTAATTTATTTGAATTTCTGAGACTGTCAATTATACAATGATAATCACAAATGTCCAATCGTGTGTTGTTGAAGATTTTTGTTGTACTTCACATGAAGAACCTGACACAAACATTATCAATAACGCGCGTAACATCGCTGAGCATATCGTTGCAATATTCCTATTAGAGCCTTCGATACTGCAAAATATCAGTATAATATTGGTTATATGAATTGGTAATATGACATAACTAAGAAATATAGTAATTCAAATATTTGGATGCTAAATGGGGTTGAAAATAACCATATTAACATCACGAAGTGAACTGGTTAGTTGTTTGCCAGAATTTCAATTTGTTGTCATGCTTTTACTGGTTGTGATTTCAATCCAGCCTTCTTTAACAAAAAAAAGACCTTACAATTCTCTGAAAAAAATCGATCTTCAAAAAATGTTTGCTACGCTTAACAAAGAACCCACAACAATATCTTTTTAATACTATTCAGCTTAATTTTTAAGTATGGTCGGAGAATCTCGTCTTTATCAAACATCTTCAGTTGGATTTTCAAATAATTTTTATTTACATCTGATTATTATTTTATAGAATCTGATTCAGCGGATGATGAGGAATCATCAAAAGCGAGATATGGCTCCGAGATTATAATAAATAAAGAAAGTATATATATATATATATATATATATAATAAATATTGTATAACTTTATTTTTATACAATATTTTGAAATTAGACTAAAATAAATAAAAAAATAGAATAAACATTACAATAATTGTTGTTATCGTTTGTATACTTTAATCTTTACGAATTTAGCGTAAAAAATCTTTTTTCCGCTCATCAACATTATTAAATGTCACATATAAACTAACAAATATTAATTTGTTTTATCATTATGAAAGAATTGCTTATATCGGTATAAAACATGGAGATTTATGCATACTATCAGGCCAAATGGTAGCTGAGTTTTTTAACTCTGCTGATGTTGGTCCACTAGGTACACGTAGGGCTTTCAAAACCGTATTAAAATCTGAATACCGGTATTCGATATTTGAAATTTGTAATACCGGGATCCCGGTATTAATACCGGTATTATCAATGAAAATTTTACTAGTCATATTTTTAGTTACTGCAGTTGTTTTATTGACATATTAACATTATTATTGTTTTAAAATGAGTACATATTAATTATTTTATCACATAAATAATAAGAGTAGATAGATACAAGAAAAAAACTTGCAAGTAAACAATTATATATTAACTTCTATATACACACTTTACATATAATAGGCTCGTATGGAATTATAAATTTAATAACTTATATTTTGTTTATTAAAATATGTTTCTAAAAATTATAAACAATCAATTGCTCAATCTTCAAGCGAGGGCCGAATTTTAGTACAAATATAACACGCCGAAAAAGTCTTTCCTCATGCTACACTTGTCGGCACAATTGTCATAAAGAAATAATACGAGTACATGATTAGTCGATATGAATTAGTACTTAGTATAGGGTATTTAGTTTATAAACAAATCATAAATAGATATCAGCACTTCACAAAGGCTTATAGAAAATTATTGTATTTACTGATTGCCTAATAAATAAATAAAATTATTCTATATGAACGATTTCTAAGCATCTGCAACGAGACCAATATTATCATTGATTATCAAACAATTTATCACTCAATGATTTGACTTGTAAATTTTTATAAGTTATAAAAAATAATGAATACGATAATACGAATGATTGAAGGAAGATATACAAATAGAGTATTATAACGTGTCGACTGTATATTTTGTTAAAATATCATTGATAACGAATTAGATATGAAGACAATGCACGTGGACGACTAATACTTTGTATAAATGGGTTCCATTCATTAGATCGTATATAATATATAGACAATCGCTTTATCTTGCCGGCATCGACAAGATGTGTCATACTGGACTGAGCCGAGTCGGCAATACACAAATAAAGTGTAAAACTCGTGTATGTGTATTGTGTAAGTTAAATTTTTAACAAAATTTCGTAATCCCGAAATACCGGTATTTTAGTATCAATACCGTATTGAACACCGGACAAAAATCGTCCGGGATCCCGGTATTCGGGATCACGGAATCCCGGTATTGTAAGCCCTAGGTACACGTCTGCCGTGATAAATATAAGGTTTTGATACTATAAGGAATAAAATATGTAAATGGCAGACATCGTAAAATACATTCAAAAAAATTTTTTTCTGCATTTTCAAAATCGTCTGCCACCATGTTAACCGCGCGATAATCGTCTGCCATTGGTATTTTACGATAGTAATAATATTATATTTTCAAATTTTCGAAACGGCAACCGTCGTAAAATGGTTCGGATATGGGCGAAAAAAAGGTACCTTACCAGCTGCGCAGTAGCTGTGTCCGCCACTTGGGCTTAGTCAGTCCCCATTTCATGTAGGATAGGTATAGAGGAATCGATGCACAAAATCTCAGGTGTCGTAAAATACATACTGTCATCCGCCCACGGGGCTCTTGGTCTAATATTTCAACCGTCTTCAAAATGAAATCATTTTTAATAATATTTGTAATATATTTTTTTGATAGTTTATAATTTTTATTTGGTCAAGTATATTGGTGAAACTCAACCATTTTTAACTTCTCGAAGGAGAAGTTTATGTTTTCATCAAAGAGGCCTATCAAAAAATCCGATTTTATGATTTCTCGACGTTTCAAGCCATTCTGAATCGAATGGTACCAAACTTGGAAATATGTGTGTGTGTATATGTGTGTGCGTGTATGTGAACAGATTTTTTGCCGTAAATCGAGGTTTTCTCAAAAACGACTGGACCAATTTCAAAAATTTAAAAGCCATTCGATGTATCTCGATGAGGACTAGCGTTTATCAATTTTGTGCGACGATCGGCCAAGCAGTAAATAGCAGAAAAATGAAAATTTTTTCGTCCACGTTTTAGCCCGCAATTCTGAATCGATTTTAAAAATTCAAAAACCGTTCGAAAAATATTGGTTGGGAATCGTGCTGATTAGTTTTTGGTAAAGATCGACGGGGCCGTTTTCTTGTAATAAAGTGTCAAAAAAAGAAATTTCGACGATTTTTATGGATTTTTTTGACGGTAGATACCATAGTCTTATAGATCACACTAAAAAATTACGGACTTACAAGTCGTTTAATTTTAAAAATTCGTTAAAGTTTGAAAAAATTAGTATCGTTTCCTCTAACCTTTCATCAATATTTGCTCAAACACGCCTGAACCGATTTCAGAAATTTAAAAGCCATTTGATGTATCTCAATGAGGACTATCGTTTGTATGTTTTGTGCGACGATATGGCAAGCCGTTTTTTTATAATTTGGAAAAAAGTGTTAAACTTTACGTCCACATTTAAGCTCATACTACCGAATCGATTTTAAAAAATCAAAAACTGTTCGAATCATGTTATTTGGGAATGATACTGATTAGTTTTAGGATTAAACCTACCGAGCCGTTTTATTGTAATTAACTGTTGAAAAAAAATTTAAGCCGAATTTCATGGAACTTTTTTTGGCGATATATCATGGTTTTATAGAACTTACTGAAATATTATGGTCTTACAACAAATAGTTATTTTAAACATTCATCAAAGTTTGAGAAAATGAGTAGTTTTTTTTTGACTTTTGTTAAAATTAATATTAGACAATTTACTTGGTATAACGATAGAGTACTTGATCTTAATAAACATACTAAACCGTTAAAGTCCTACGGAAACTGGTTCAGTTATAAAAATTATTGATTTGTGAAAATTTGCTTTTAGAAAATTCTCCGAGTTAACGTGTTCGTTCGTTTTCAATTATGTGTAATAAATCCACTCGGAATACTTTTAATCACTCATAAATTAATTTATTTTTAATTGTACCAATACCAACTAATTAACATAATTTTACATTGATGTTTGTTTTCGTCTTAGCTTTTGTTTGTCAATATTTAGGCTTGATTTGATTCTGATTCGTATCACTCGAATAAGGAAATTTTCGAGTCAGCACACCACTAATATTTAATATCTGTTTCATTTTCTGAAATTTTGTTGTCCAATTATAATCCATATATTAATATATTGACTTGCATAAAATCCTTTTACAAACAAAACTTAGAGTGCAAAAATATATATGCGAGTTAAATAGTATATTTTATAAATATGTAAAACAGAACAGAAAGTAATAGTAAGAGTAATAGAAAGTCTTTACAGAAAGTAATAGTAATAGATATAGTCTTTACTTACAATTGGAAACATTTTCTGCTCCTTGCAAAATGGATTCTCCCAGAGACATTTCGTAAAGGGCATCAAACCAGAAATGTGAATGTTCTGACCATACTTCTTCTGATAAGCATTTCCACAACGGAAAGCTCATCTCATGATGTCCATATCTTGCACAACATCGAGCAATTTTATATTTAGACCATAATGAAACTGTCTCCAAAGTTTTGTTCATTTGCTCTTTGTGTCTAAAATTAATCAAAATATATTGAAACAAAAAAATCAATAACATAGCAATTAAATAATACTTGATAATTACTGAATAATATTAAGAAAAAAGTATATAAAATTGTGAGTTTCGCCAAAATTTTATTTTATGAAACCTTTCATATTTTGAGAACTAAAAATATACAATATGCATTTATATTAATAATAATTACCTCATTTCAAGTTTAGTAATTAGCGATATCTGTAATATCAATGTAAACAATCTTTCAATAAATTGAGTTTCTTTATCATTGGTGTAATTAATATTTGTATTTTTTTCTAGTATTTTCATTATATCAGATAAATAAATCAGTAAGGGATTATCATCTCGTGAATTTGCACTAATTGCAGCTAAAGCTTCAGTGACAAGCAAACATTGTGCAACTGAATATCCAGGTGTCTGGTTCAGCATACCGAACATAAATTTAGTAAAATACTTAGAATAGTTTTCACTTAAAGCAGCAAGCTGAACGGCACATTTTAATATTCGCACTAAAATATTTTCAGTTTTTGCTGTTACTAACTGAACTTCTAACTGATTCTTTATGCTGTACTCAACTATCTGTAATTTTAATTCAGCCCCTTTGTTCTCTTTATAATAATGCCCTAAAATGCATGTGATAACTTCTAAAGCACAGCAGCTTGTCTCTCCATTCGGATGAACTAATGAATCAAAGCAATAATGTCTGTAAGTGATCAGATTCAGTTATCTTTACTTGGCATCCTACAGGACTATCGGCTAATTTTAAAAGTACCATTAAGATCTTAGATTTTTCTCTTGCGCTGATATTTCTATTCATTCCAGCTTGTACTATGGCTTGTATAGCTTCTAAAGGCCATTTTACAGCACCTTTTACTGCAAGATCTTTTCAAGCATTGCAGCGTTCTAGATCTAACTAAAGTTCTAGGATCTTTAAGGTATAGAAGTAGCAATGAAACTTGGGCAGGCACATCAACCATTGTTGATATTGATAATTGCGTTAAAGATTCTAAAGTTGTTATGATGAATTCCTCAGCAGGGTATTTTGATAGTAAATTCAAACAAAGTGTACGAACTAAAGCAGCCGTTTTGGCATCATGATGCATGTATTGTAGAATTGGAATCAACTGTAGTTTCCTATTATCTGGAGTGGCTTGTCCTTCTATCATATCTGACATTTTACCACACATCGACACAGCAAATGTTTTACTCTGAGCTGCAAACTGCATAGCTGCTGTTATTGCAGCATCAACTTCCACTGAATTATGACTATCTAAAGATTGGCGAATTGCATGATGGACTTGTTCTTTTTCAGGAATAATTCTAGCAACGGCTCCTAGAGTCCTAAGAGCCAATCCACGAGCTACTGGGTCATTAGAACTGTACACAATGAAAATACGTCGAACAAACTCATCAATATTTAAAATTTTGTCTAAATGTTTATCAGTTTGTTCACAAACTTTCAATATCCATAAACGTAAAATATTATTACCTACACGAAAAACTTCAGCGAGTTTTAATAGTGAAGAGTTAACTAAAATGGGAAATGGATACTTTTCAAATAATCTAGGAAAACGAACAATAGCCTCACATTGATCGCCTATTTTTGTGGCCCTAAGGGCTTTGTCGAGTTCTGTAAGAGCTGTATTTGCATCTTGCTCGGGTTCTCCTAAACCAGATTCTATGTATCTTGTAGCCAACATTTTGAAAGTTATCTTTAATATTTCACTTGGACAAGTCGTGAAGAAATCGAACACATTTAGGTTAGGAAAGGATATTTTATCTCAATAATTGATCATAACAGTAAATTGGTCATTTAAAATCTAAATAATGATTGAAGCAATATAGTGAAATAATAGAATAGCATTTATGAACTAATTAACGTTCACATAACAAATAAATAACGAAAAACTATCAAATTTTTGACGTTACATTAAATTTGTTTACATACGTTGCTGTGTTGACTATGACTTGAAGTACATAAAGGTGCGTCCACACCTAACGAACAAACACGAACGAACATGTCGAACAAGAAAATACAAAGAAGAACGAACAGGAACACGAACGAACGCGAATAATTCCAAACAATCGCCTTAAAGCAATGAGGGCTTCAATCTTTTTGTTCGAGGATATACCGTGAAACGTCAGATTTATTATTTAAAGTGCGAGAAAGAGCAAAATTATTTAAAGTCATCAAATTTACAAAATTTGTCAATAACAGCAATATCTTATAATAAACACAACATAAATCAATGCATTAATGCACATTTTAACATGAAAAAGGAAAAATGTTTGTCAACATTCGTGGTAGCGTCTACACTAGGGTCCACACTGCACGTACGAGTTTAAACATGAACGAACAATTCCCTTTGATGTACCGACAAGTTGCGGAACATTGCTCGCCATGTTTGTTTAGGTTCGTTAGTGATCGTTGTGGCGCCACACTATGCTGTTGCAGTTCGTTCTGGTACGTTCATTTATGTTCGTTCGCTAGGTGTGGCGCACCTTAACAAAAACCAAAAGTCACTTAACCACTTTCTGATTATGTACTTCGAAATTGAAATTTTTTATATATCTTTACGTTTCAAAGGTTTCTGAACATTTTGGGATACCTGTGTGTGCGGATACAAATTTTTGTCAACGATTTTGGTTTTCGTCGTTGATTCGTTGATCGTTGATATTTTTATAAAAATATCAGGTATAATAGATTTGCAATCCTATCCTTATATTATGGGAGGAATACAAATGAAACGTCTATTTTTATAGCGTTATACAGAATACAAATAAAATTCTAATAAAGAACTGTACCTAATATTATTATATTGTATTTTAAGATGTACTAAAGAAATATATATATTTCTCTTCAATCAGAAAATCATCAAAACTGTGAACACTATGTTTGCGCATAATCTAAAATTTATTACCATTTTTTATTTTGAGTAGCCATTCCGAGCTAAACAAGCCAGTACAGGCAAAAAACTAAAATCTATATTTATAGAGAAGCTATAATTTTAAAAGAACTATTACAATTATTTAAAATTATAGCTAACAGTAGGATACCAATTAACGATAACAGAATCTAATCACTTAGAGATAATGCTATAACATTGCAATTAAAATAATGTAAAATATATATGCAATAATATTCTAAATAAATATTTAAAGCATTAAATGATTAAAAAAAGATCAAATATATTATGATACATAAACAATGATTACAAAAACATTATAACATAATATTGAAATCTCTATTATGACAATAGTTCAATTAAATAATTGATTATAGTTATTGGAAATATTTCATATTTATAAAACTAAAAATAGTTATAGACATTTGTAATCAATCTGAGAATATATTATAATAAGCTTATACTTCATAAAGAGCATAAAACAGCTCCATATTATTTTATCACAAAAGCGTCATCATATAACTAAATTTTCAAAATATCTATTTCAGTAGTCAGTTAATTTGGTACAAGTCTGTGATGCTGAATACCTGCTCGTCAGTAAAATATTTAATCATCTATTTCAAATTCACTTTATGACAACAAGAACATATTTTATAATTCATTGGCATTATAAACATATAACATTTATGCAATTTTTTCAATGACAATAATAAAGAAAAATATCATAAGTCAAATTTAATGAATTTATGAAAAAAATATTCGCTATAACACATCGTATAAAAAGTTATAGAATAAATACATTTAATTAAATATTCATTTACATACATATCTATATACCTATATATTACAACTTAATTATCCTTACACCTATAAATATGATTACCCTCATTCTATATAATAAATATGCAAATATATATATATATATATATATATATATATAATTTATAATCACCTATTCAACCATTATAAGGTGCAACACCTCATCTATATCGATTTCTAATAATTTTAACTGTGAAGTATTGGCCATGTCCGATACACTTGTGTCATCAGCTAAAGTACTGTTACCAGCAGTTTCTGATTTATCTTCATTTGAAATATCTGATATATTTAAATCAGTTGAGGTATTCGGAGTGTCATCTGATGGTGATTCTGATGTAAACTCTGTTATGGATTTCACTGCTTCTAAAATGGCTTTGCTTGATGTTACTTCAGATTGTTCTTCATTATCATCAGATTCTTTATTATTTAGTTTACGCTTCTTTGTGGGAGTTTCATCTTCTAAAATCATATGTTTAGGATTCATAATATATAGTTTTTGTATCTTATCATATATCAAGCTATTTCATGAAACAAATGTTACAGTTTCAATTTAAAACTTACATTAGAACACTTTTAAAAGCTTAAATAAAATTATAAAAAGCAAGTAACGATAAATTCTGAAATACTATGTAATATGTGCAGCAATCTTAAAAAATGACAATCGATTTTCATGATGCCACAAAAGATTTTGCATCTATCAATTCTGTTGTAGTTTGATTATGTTAGATTTGAAAGTGATACGAATAGTTAAACTCAAATTGAAATCAGGAAAATAAAGTGAATTTTAAATCTACATGTTACTATAACAAATACTAATTTATTACTTTAACTGCCTGAGAATTAGGAACTTAAAATTTTTGATGATACTATAATTTAAATATGTATTTATATTGTATATAATATTACAACAATTATATTTGTTTTAATTATTTGAATAGATTTATATTACTTTAATATTATATATTTAAAGTTAATTTCATTTTTATGAAGATGATTTAAAATAAGAAGTGGTATCACATTGTTTCATAAAATTGCATAAGTTGATGCACATATAATGTTAATCATCAATGTTTCAAATAAAAAAATATTTAGATATTTTAAGAAATAACTATTTGCATATAATACCATATAATTTTTTTTCTAGTTTTGATAAATTCCTTACCTTGTTGAACCAATTCAGTCACAGCTCTTTGTTTCAGTCTTTCGAGAGCATTCTGCAAACTTGATGGGGTTTGCAAACCCCTATTATTAACAGAACTAGTTGGTTATATTTTAAAACTAAATGTAAAGCCCTAACATCACCGCGAAGTCTCCGAGCACCAGTCTGCAGATCTACACGGGATACATTATCTGATAACGTTGTACACAAATTTTCTATAAGACGACATGTCTGAGGAGTCAAAACGCGTATTGAAATCTGTTGAAAAAAAATATGTTTTATATATATATATATATATATATATATATATATATTCAATAATATTCATTTCAATTCTAAAAAGAAGCATACAAAACATAGTCATAATTGTATGACGGCTTATAATGAAAAATTATATAACTGATATATATTCAATAATATTCACTTAAATTACACAAAAAACTATACAAACAAATTTTATGATTGTATGACTGGTTATAATGAAAATAAAAACAAATATTTTTATGAAATTTAAGTATGGTTTTAAGAGTGAAAAATATTGATAAATAATATAAAATATTTACTCAGTATTTATTAATATTGCAATTACTCTACCTTCGGAAAAAATGTCTGCATAAATTCCCATATTTTAGGATCAGTTAGTGATACTCGTTCATCTAACAAAATACAGTCTACATATTCTCCTAGATAAATACTATCAGCTAACATTTCTGCATTGCCACCTATCATTGCTAGCAAACCTTAAAAAAAATTATTACACAATATTATAATATATTATATAAATTAAAAAAGGTAAATTATATTTATTTAGGGCTATAAGCCATTTTACTTAAAAAACTAAGCACAATTTTTTAAAGGATCGATTTCAAATCTGCAACGTTTTTAAAGTGCTTCATCAAAGTAACAAAAATATCATAGATGTATGAAAAGTGGTTTACTTATAAAAATTATTCAAAATTTGGATTATTCGGCCGCACTTTTAGAAAATACTCTTTTAGGCACGTGTTTGTTTTTCAATAATGTGTAACAAAAAAATTGTACAAAATTGAATAATCTGCAATACTTTCTCACATTATGAGCCCTATATCAACTCGGCATTACTTATAAATCACTCATAAATTAATATATACTGATTTCTTATTGATAATGTCAATACAACTAATTATAAATTATTGAAATTCTTAAAATACACAATATTAAATATTTAATAACAATATATCTTTGATTCAGAATACTGTGTGATAATTACCTTCTTCGTTATTATTGTGTGCCTCCAAAGCATCTATCCAGAGAGCTGGAAAATAATTAAAATGCAATGGTGCAGCTTCGTAACCGGTCATAGCACTTAATGTTATAACATGTTCAGCATGTGAATTTATTGTTAAGTTTCTTCCTGGTACTCCACGCAACATCTGATCTACAAATTCATGATAAGGACGATAAAATGAAGCTAGAGCTGCGTCATATTCAACATCCACTCCCTAAATAATAAAATTTCATTAAAATACAAATTTAAAATTAATAATTATATATATAATATTATTTTAACTTTTTAATATATCAATATTTCTATAATCATGATTTTTTAGTGATTGAGTTCTTTATATATAATTTTTAATTAATTGTGAGAGAATAAAATACTAATGTTGTTTAAAAAACTTGAAAAAAAACGTTTTAATTAATCTATGCAGCTATTGCTTAATTAAAATATAATCTGGTTTTCAAAAAAGCATTATACATTTTTACCTTACATATTTTATACAAAATAATACTAACCTTAGGGCTTTGTATCTGTGTATGGGGCACATACATTTGGAGCACAGGCCTAGGTGGCCTCGGAGAGTTTTTACCATGGGCATGCTGCAATAGACCACCACGAGAACCCCTTCTTGGAAAATACGGTCCCAGAGGAAAAGCGTTGGATGATGATGATCCTGAGCCTGAAGCAGCTGGTCGCTCATTACAAGAAGATGATGAAGTACCATTTGTGTGGAATGAGTTGTGAGAATGTGAAAGCAACTGAAGTAAAACTGTACGAGTTTCATCAGGTAACAGATGCATCAGCTCACATAACATTTCTGGAAATAATAGATTATATGAAAATTAATGTTATTCTATTCATATATTAATAAATAATGAATTTGTCAAAAGAAAAGTCAAAAAAACTTTTGGCAAGTCCTTGCAATGCAAGGTATAGTTGATGTTTTATATTAAAAGTCCAAATTTAGTTTTAAATAAAAATTAAAAGAATTTTAGTAATAAATAACTGTTATTAAAATTACACTGATGATGAGCACACCTTAGTCTTGAAACGTTTGTAATAATAAAATAAAGTTGTGATAAAAAAATCTGAGTGCTGTTTTGTTCATATTAAACAATTAATATATATATCTAAATATATATAATATTATATATATATATATTGATTTAGTAGTTAATTTTGATGTTGAAATATATGAGTAAGTTCTTGAGGGCGATACATCAAACAAAGAATTTCTTTGTTCGATGTATCGCCTCAAGAACTCACTCATATATATATATATATATATATATATATATATATATATATATATATATATATGAGATGGTCCGTGAGCTGAGTTAAACACCAACTCGATTCAAGGAAGAATATTGTAAGACTTTCCTTGCCATTTCACACCGCAGGGCCCATCGATATGAGCTTTTTTACAATTGGAAACATATTTTTAAATTCCCGTAGGGTAAATTATAGTAATCGCAAAAAATCGAAAATGATAATGTTTATATATCTTTACGTTTAAAAGTTTTCTGAATATTTTGGCATACCTTAGAAAAAATGAATGTATGTGTGTGTGTGTACATGTATGTGTGTATGAATACAAATTTTCGTCGACGATTTCGGGAACACCGATCAACCGATTTGAATAATTCAAAAAACATTCGATTCGTATTGATAAGGAGACGTGCTGATTAGTTTTTGGCAACAGCAGGTTTAGTCGTTCCGTAGATACGAAGCAAAAAGTGCCAAAAACGGTAACTCAGTTTTTAAGAGAACTGAGGAGGCAAGTCCAGCGGTTATGGACTCCTTAAAAAAAAAAAATCAAAGTTTCAAAAACTCAAATTTTCGAAATTTTCTATTAAAGAAACTAAATTTTGAGAAATTAAAAAAAAATCGATTTCGTACAAAAATTTGAGAATATTTCGAAACTTTCAAAAAAATCATGTATTTAAAAAGTTTTTAAAATGAAAAATCCAAAAAATTTCAAACTCCTAGAAAAATTTCAAATTTTCGAAAGAATTTCCAAATTATCAAAAAAAAAACAAATTAAAAAAAGAAGTAACAAATATGTTATAAACATACACAAAGTTGTTTGTAGAATACGCTCGTCGCCTAATTTAAAAAGCGCTTATAAGTTTACAGTTTACTTATATTTTTATAATAAATAATCTATTTGAAATTATTTAAAACAATTATGGATTATTTTCATTTCTCGAATTTTTAATTGCGGTACGGAAAGTTCGAGCAATTTGCCTTAAGGCACGATGCCATGCGCCCCACTAGTTGATCTATATTTTCAAGTGAAAATGAACATCGCTACTTCGACATCAGATCTTCCAGGAGCTACGCCATGAGAGCCCCATATGTATCAAAAATATTTAGGAACAATCATTTTCACAAACCTATAGAAACTTGTCGCATTTCTGGTGGATTGAACGTATTTAGCAACGTAGCCAATCTTCTTGTTAGGTCGACCAACGGCTTATTGCACGTTACGAGTGTTGCCCTGCACTCTCGATGGTCCTTATGCCTTCTCAGACAATTTATCAGCCCAAAAGTTTCAGTCAAAAGCTCTGTCAAATCTTCAGAAACATGGCACGCTGTTGCCTCATGATACATGACATGCAAATTGTGGAGAGCCTGAAAAAAAAAAACAAATCGTCAAAATATAACTTTTTTATTGTTTTTAGATCTTCAATTTGTATATCAGTGTGCCTATTTTTTTGTACATACATTTATAAAATTGTAATAATTAATTTTAATTTAAATAATTTTTGTACAAATTATAAATTCAAAAACCTTGTTTCTACAGTTTTGATAATTATTGTTCAATGTAAGTTAATCGTGGTAGGCAATAATATTATATAGGCTTTATTGTTCATAAGAAGATTTGCGAAGTTAATTGTAAAAACTTACATTCGAAAAAGTTTATATAAATCATTTATAAGTCATTTTAAATCGAATGAAACCAAATTTGGAAAAGTGTGCATGTATGTATGTATGTGTGTGAGCCGTATTTGGACCTTTCGTCGACATTTTTCTCAAAAACTGCTGGACTGATTTCAAGTTTTGTGCGACGATCGGCCGAGTCGTTTCTTCGTTATTACCAAATAAGTGTATATTTTCGACTTTTCAAAAATTCAAAAACTTCGAAAAATATTCATTTGGAATCGAGTTGATTAGTTTTTAGTTGAGATCGGCCGGGGCGTTTCTTCGCAATTATTTTTTTTTTTTGACAATTTTGATAATTTTGTATAATGATAGATTTTGTAGTCTGGATAACATACTGAAACATTATAGGCCTACGATAAGAGGTTGAATTATAAAAATTCACAAAAGTTTAGAATTTCGGCGTAAGCTTAAGCGATTCTAATTAGAATCTGTGCCAATGCATATGTACGTTCCGTGTTTAATTTATTTATTCATTAAAAGTAATATTAAATTTTTAATTTACCCGAAATGGATGAAATGAAACGTGTTAAAGACATTAATTTAATTTATACAATTATAAATAGTATAAGTATGTTTGAAAGACATCAATTGGAAACCGTATTGATTTATTAGTGAAAGCGAAAATGTTATTTTCTAAATAACAGTTGAACAGTTTACCTAAATAACTAAATATCAATTCTTATTTATTAATACTAGAATGACGGAGCGAGTCAATTTGACTAATTTGTACTTTATGTGATATACAAAACAATTTCAAGTAAATTGTTTAAATTTTTTTTTTGGTTTTTTATGGAACAATGAAAGGTATACAAAAAGTTTTTTCTATTATTCCCTAATCCCTTACTTCCAATAATTCATATGTGCTATATTTTTCCAGATACGTGTCAAATTGACTCATTGTTTTATACACACGTAACTTATTTCCTTTTCATAAAAAACTATTGTACACGTTCTGGTGGAAGAGTTTTCATGTTATAATTCGTTCATTCAATGCTGTAAATTTATTCGTTGCAAACTATTCAGTTGAAATCTTAGGAGAAACCTGGCGAAAACATAACAGTCGATGAACAATTATTATTCTCAAATAAAGCCAGGTGCTTATTTACTCAGTACATTGCCAAACAAAACAAGTAAATTAGGAATCAAAATTTGGTCAGCCGCAGATATAAGAAGCAACCGTTTAGAAGCACCTTCTAAATAGTTTTTACTATTTGGGCAAGGATGAAAGCGGATCAAATATTACCTTAAGCAAGTTTGTTGTGTAAACTGACTAAGCCATATTTAGGTTGTAGACTACAAAAATATATCTAATAAAAAGTTTTGTTATTGAGCTCAAAACACCGCAATATCTTTTTATAATAATACTAAGTGTGGGGTCGATATACTGGATCAAATGGCGCGGAAATATATTACCAAAGCAGGTTCCCGTTTTCCAAATTGTACCAAAGCCCGTTTATTTATGTGTTCTACATCATATATAAATTTGTGACTGAAGTAGGAATGTCAAGAAAGAATTTCTCTTGCAACTAGCTGTAAATTTAAGCGGCATCTACAAAAATCAAGTCGAAAATACTTCGACTTTAATATACAAAATATTGAAAACCATTAAAATTGGTACAAGTGTCATGCAACAGAAACAGAAACAAGGGCGTTTGTAGCAAATGCTACAAAAAATATGCGAAAAGTGTATGCAAAAAGTTTGCAATAATATTTTATTACTTTGTTAAACTGTCAGTTAAACTGACTCAATCAGGCAAAATAGATATGCAACCAACTTCAGTCATTGTAGTGTTAAGTTGATCATGTTATACGCACAGGAAATTTAATGCAACTTGCCGTAAGACAAAATGCTACTTACAACTAATTTCTAATTCATTTTTAAACTTACATCTAGTACCAAACTGAGGCCGCCGCTCTGCAACACATACAGCTTTTCTTCATCAGTGTCGGCTAGCGTACGCAGGGCCGTATTTAAAGTGCCCCAGCTACCTCGAGCGTCCAAACCCGCTAAATACGCCGCCAACGTACCCCGTCTAAAAGCGGTCACCTCACGTAATTCCCCTTCAGTCGCTTCAGGACTACGTGCTCCAAATAGAGCCATCAATTTGAATAACTCCTCCACTGCCTAATTTAGATAAAATAGACACCGTCAATATGAGAAGAATAAAATTCAATTACCAAAATAAAAAAAAAAGTCAAATTATTATTTGAAATAATTTAACTTGATAAAATATTGTAATTACTACGTTTATGAATATTGATTTAATGTTTATGATTATTGTATAAATTAAAACCATTAAGAATTATAAAAAATGATTAATGAAGCTTTCAATTTTATAGCTACATATATGGAAACTATTGGGATGTTCGGAAAGTAACTTCGTTTTTATAGGCATTTTAGCACGTAATTTTCGCACAATAAACAATTACTTTAATAAATTATGTATTGGCAGTTCTGATCGAACATCTTTTGTCTTATTTCTGGTGTTAGCACAATTCCGAAATCATAAATGTTTTGGTCGTTCTTGACAAAAAAAACTTATCAAAGAACTTTTTGACAGGCTGATTTGAGGTAAAAATTTCACTGCCTAAAAATTTTTTAGTGACCGGAACAAATAATGGTCCGATGATGGCAGGTCTGGAGAATATGATGAATGTATCATTGAGTCCCATTCAAGCTTCAAAAGCTTTTGGCGATTGACCAAACTTTTGTGAGGTCTTGCGTCGTCTTGATGCAGGACTTGTTGTGGGTTAATTCTGACCTTTTCTATTTAAGTATATCATTTAGTTTATCCAGCTGATGACATAAGGCATCTGAATTAACCGTTATGTTATCTTGGAAAAGCTGAAAAATGAAGATCTCCTTTAAATTCTTCCAAACATACAGCATCACCTTTTTCTGGCAAATTTCAGCTTTACACCTGTATTGAGTAGGTTCTTTTTTTTATTTCATGGACAAATGCGTGTATTGTATTCCTTACATCCCAATTGAAATTCCTAATGACAATTCGCTTCAAAACCTGATAATTTTCAATACTTTTCATAGGCGAATCGCGAACGCCAGTGCGACGACACACGTTTTTTTTCTATGAGAATCATACATTGAGTTTCGATGAAAATTCCAGACCTTTTGAGTGGTTATAAACTGTTAAATTTGATAAATATTTACTCAATGGGGTCTCATGTATTATTATTGTCGGTTTGCATCAACTAATGATTTTCTCGCGATTTGACTTAACAGTTTTTTTCCTTTTCTATAGCAAAAGAGTAAAATATGTCGAAAATGCTGCTTAATTCTTTCCGTATTCAAAGTGACACCATCCAAAAACTACTGCATGTAAACAATTAGAATTTTTTACACACAAGCCTTAAAATATAAGTTTTCAAATCATATAATAATTATAGAGCTTAAGTTTTATGTTAGTTTCAAAAAATATAGTTAAATTCTGGTAGTAAAAAAAACGAAGTGAACCTTATAATTAACATCTCTTAGGATAAGTTATAGTAATCGCAAAAAATCGAAAATGAAAATGTTTATATATAAAGGTTTCTAAACATTTTGGCATGTCTTATTATTAGAAAAAATGGATGTGTGTGTGTGGATACATTCTGGTCCACAATTGCATGAACACTAATCAACCAATTTAAATAATACTACTGCTGTATACTGTGTCGGATGCGGCGTAATATTTTTAAAAGCCCATTGTAAATTTTGATGCGCAGCTAGCTGTCTAGTTAATTTGCGACTTTGCTCACAACACATTCTTAATAATCCATAATAAGCTGGCAGCATGGATCGATTAAACATAACAACATCATGGTCATCATGATCAGCCCTAAAATTTACACACATATATATTATTTATTATATAACATAAAAATAAAATCAGGTATAAATTAAAAAAGCAATTGAAATACTTTAATCTGAATATTGCAAGTGTAAAATATTGTCCTAGATACAGCAACAATATTCATTCAGATACTCAATTCACATTTATTAATTAAAATAATTATATAAAATGAATATTAATAATTTAAGAACTCACATCAGCACATTGTTATTATCACAAACTAATATTTTACTAGATAATATTTTAATAATTTTGATAACTCATTTATACTTACAAAATATAATTAAATGCTATGTTTCTCGTGATATCAACATTTTGTACAACTATTTGAGCATTTTCTGGACAGTCAACTGTTATGTGGTGCCAAAACACTAGTAATGCCTGTTTATTATGATGAGCTGCAACACTGGGTTCTGATAATCTCGGATGAAACAAGTCCCATAGAGCTCTTATATGAGGTCCAACCTATAAGAATTTTTATTTTAATGAAATAAAATAAATACATAATTATTTTATTGCAGTACCAATAAAACAAAACATATTTCTGCAATAATCATCACAATTATAAAAATTCTAATATAAAACAACAGTTAGTAAAGAACATTGTAAATGTTTCAGAACAAACAAACAGTTAGTAAAGAACATTGTAAATGTTTCTAGTATTAATTACATTTATTTACTTATTTAAATAAGGTCATACATATTGAATCATATTGAAGAAATCATTTATATCCCTGGAGTTATAAAAAAACGAAAAATTCGAAATGATTGCCAATTTATAGTACAACAGACTGTAAATGAATCATTTTAATTAGATCATTTGAAATGCTTTGAGATATTATATGGAGTAGCAAAATAATCATTTCAAACTTTATGAGAAAACTTAAATTTCAAAACAAAAATATTACCATCAATTTTTCTGTCCTGCCGCTAGCAAAATACGTCATCAGTGTAAAATAAGATGTAAGTTTTAATGTTCCATGCGAGGGTACATCAGCATAATGTCTAGCTGGTCTTAGTAACCGCAAAAGCAAACCCAACACTTGCCTCTGCACAGCTGTAGCTTCTGATGGCAATTCTCGAATAGCTTGTTGTTGCAATTGCTGTTGAGCCACAGTTGTGGCTACAGTTGCAGCTGTGGATGCTATACGAGTTCCATGGTAGGCTTGCCTGAAGGGCAAATGTGGCACTAGAGAAACTAGCAAATACGCAGCAGCTAAAAAAGACAATATTATATATAATAGTACAACTTGGATTACTTCATTTGCAGTAATTTTTTAAAAAAATTGTTCAAAATAGTTTCCAAAAAAATTTTTTTTTCAGTCTTGTAAAAATGTTTTGTAAAAAAAAACATTTTTCCAACTTGTCCATATATAATAGTTTATATGATTGTCACATTATTCTAGATTAACATATTAAAATATATAAATATTTTTTTCTTCAGAATTTATATAGGGCTATAATCATGGGTGTGGTCAGATGACAATTTTTTGAAACCCTCCATTTTATCACCTTCTAGAATTGAATTTTTATGACATTTTTTTTCAGATTCTAAAAAAATTAATTAATAACTTGAAAAAAATATATATAGTAAAACTATTGTCTTTTTTTACGGTCTTTCAATAATTGCACAAATTTCATGTCCTAAACCAGACTACACCATTAAAGAATCCACACTTTTAAAATAAATCTCTGTATGACCAATTTGTATTTAAATTTTAATTTGAATTTTATTTTTAAAATTTAAATTTTAAATTTACCTGATCTAACCTTTGATTATTATGAGCTATAAGAAAATGCTCAACCCAGCAATCTGCACTTTGTAAAAACCCAAGCATGTGCCATTTTATTCCTTGGAGCCTGCACCGCAAGCCATTCTAAAGCACTATGAGGACAAAACTCTGCTGCCATCCCACACACGTTGCAGAGCCAAATTGCTGTGAAAAATTGGGAGCCCCGAAGGGACCAGCAGATGCATCCGTTAGAAGGGTCAGCAGTTTAAAAAACGGTGCACATACAATATCAAACAACAAAAATTTCAGGTGAAAATAAAGGATCTATGTAATATAGGGAATAT